GCGGGAACCCGCCCGGTGCCCCTGGTCTGCTGGAGACGGTCTCCAGCAGACCAGGGGCACTGGAGCAGCTTACGAACGGGGCTTTCTCACCCCGACTTCCGGGGTGAGAAAGCCCCGTTCGTAAGTGCGGATCCGACGTAAGTCGGATCCGCGTAAGTCGGGGACTGCCTGTACTTTAAAAAAAAGTCTTAATTATGCAAAAGGCATAGAAATGCATATGCTTTGGGGGACTATTTCCCCTCCAGAAAACTGAGATGACTTTCTACACTACTTGAGAAAAATATGAGGTGCAGTCCACATTTTTATCTTCAGAATAGATCTAGGTGCTCACCAACCTATAGAGATGTACTAAAGAGAATAAATCTGAATAAGCAGTAATTTAGGTATGTGAGGCCACATTTTCCAGAAAGAACAGAGGCATCTATGATGCACAGTAACACAGGCATCATACAGTAATTCATGGGCGATAGAGTTATTAGCCAATTCACAGGGGCGAACATAGGGCAGGGCAAACGGGGCGGCCGCCCCGGGCCCCGCGCTTAAAAAAGCCCTGCGCATGCGCTGTAGCGCCACCGCGCATGCGCATGGCATCAAGGCGCATGCGCCAAGGCAAAGGGGGGGGCCCGCGGAGTTATGCTGCCTGGGCCCCACAAAACAGTCATCTGCCCCTGCCAATTCATATACAAATATAACAAAAGCCAAAATGGTTGTTCCGGTCTCTGTTCCTTTTAACTATATCTCACCATTCTCATTAAGCTATTTCTGTGTTACCATCCAAATAATTCAATAGTACAGGCAGACACTTAAAACAAGAAAGCTATTGGATGCATCTGTCAGTACATCTGAAACTGCTTTGCCTGACTGAAATATTATAGGGAAGAACCAAGTCTTTACATTCTTTTCACTGCCTATAGGGCAAAATCGTGGATCCTGGCATGAAGGTAGATTAATATGTTCTTGCACAGAGGGTCTATGTGAAGGTATGAAGTGGGATAAGGAATTAGCATTCTCCCTTTATCTGGTCATAGAACACCAGTGAGCTGCAAGTACTTCTGCTAGGCTGTAGCATTTGACACACAATCCTGTACCCACAGCAGCTGGTGGTTTTGGCCAGTGGGCCTATATTTTCATGGTGGTATCTTACATTTTCCAACCATTCTGTCTTCCAAATCTGCCTGTGCTTTAAATAGAACAACCACACAAAGGAATGCAGACTGGGTTGCCACTCAACTAGCTACCCAAAAGAAGGTGATATGAAATCAGCAATGTATTAGCTCCCACAGCATAAATGTTCTTCTGTCCCAACCTTGTTCAAATAACGTTCATTCATGGCTTTTGCGATTTGCTTTATTTCACAGCGCTGATCTGCATCTCTTTTCCTTTCATTTAATTTCTCTGCCAACGTTTCAAGTTCTGTAAGAGCCATCTGTAGTGGCAGCCTGTCAGGATGTCCTTTTATAGTATTTTTCAACATATCCTAAAAAAAAGGAGCACAGATATAATTTATGAGGTATAAGTTAAAGACAGTACATAGTATTGTAAACTTCTGTCTAAAGTTAAGGCATTGCTGCTTGAAACTGAAAATTACTTAAGAATAAGCTCAATGCCATTAATTACTAATGACAATAGAGCATGTTGGAATCTTCACCTAATTGGATCATTGATTGGCTGAGTATTCTAAAGGCTCTTTAAAAATATCTTGACCTGAAAAATAAACAGCTTATTTTCAGAAAGTATGTAAGGAAAAGGGAGTTTAAACTGAAGAAAAGTACAAAAGACACAAACGACATTAAAGAAACGACATCGAAAATTAACATGCATTTAAATATGCAAATACCTGTATCCAATGACCCTGAGAAAATTTCCCAACCTTTAATTTAACGTAATGTCACACTAAAAATCTCTCTCATCATTATCATTATTATTTATTAAATGCTAATAATGTGCTCAGTACTGTAGGAAATACAACAGAAGAAATAGTGCCTGCTCCTTGGATCTTGAAATAATTTATAAATATTTCCATATTTGAGGCACAAACTGAAACCATTTGAACATGATGTTTCCATTTGCCAACAATTATCTGGCATGCCTGTGTACACACTATTATTTCTTATCAAATTGCCCATTTCCTCTGCTGCATTTGTAATGCTACCCTGTCTACACACTTGTGAACTACTTCCCTCAGCTATCCTTAGTCTTCATTCAACCCTTGCACATAGTATACCATCCCCAAATCAGTCTTCTTCCATGACACACAGAAGCAATTAACCAACTGATAATGACTTGTGGGACAGAATTGGAGCTGCTCTGTAATAATTTAATAATACTGCATGTTGACTCAGTTATTGGGATGATCAATGTACAATTATGTTTGCTAAGGGATTGTAAGGAGAAACAAAGAGGAAGAAAACAGGAAGTCTGAGGTTATGCCACTTCCCTGAAATCACCTAAGGCTTGTTAAGAGACAGTGCCAGGCTACCAAAAAGCCTGGGAGTCAAAAAGATCGAAAGAATTCCAGTAGTCAACGAAGAAATACCTTTTCAAAAAGCTTTGAGGTGTTCACAGGATACAGGCAAGTACAAAGGCATCTGCTGTGAAGATGCTATGCCTGTGTATAGTGCCATCAGAAGATGACAAACATTTGGGTGAGACAGATATGCTGTGGATGATTATTTTAAAATACTTTTAGTCTAAATTCTTTGTTCCTGGAGCAAAATAAACAACACTCTCGACAAGGTTGTCTGATCGGTTGTTACATTCTCCACAGTACGATTGTCCCTTATCTGAAAGTAGTATTCTGCTCTTTAAAATGAGAACAGCTACATATAAATATATGAGATAATTGGTTTTGAATCAGGGATACCTAAAGAAATATTTATTGACCCACAGAAATAAAGTACCATGCTCTAGCAACATTTTCCCACAGTCGATCCATTAAATAGGTCAAATAGCCAAATTATGAATTTCTAGAGTTGAACAATATTTTTCAGATAATTTTTTTTTGCTTACAAATAGAATTTAAGATTGACCCAAAATACTGGAGAATGTGTGTCAGCTTTCCCAAACTGTCAAGGTTAAAAAAACAAAAACAAAAAGGAAAGAATCTCCTCCCCGCCCCCCCCCACTTCTCCCCAAAAAAAGGAAGCCAAAAAGTTTCATTTTAACATTTTCAAAACAAATTCTGATTTGAAATGACTTTTTATTCTGATTTTTCATCTCACTTTTATTTTAACAATTTAAATATAAAAAATCCCGAAAAACATTTTGGATTGAAGAAGTTTTGTTAAGGTGATTTTTTCTAAAACTTTTTTGTCTTTCTGAAAAGTTACCAACAAAAAAAATTACTTCCAAGCTGACTTGAAGCAAACAAAGAAAGGTACTTTCAAAGATTTTATTACAAATTTTTCACTTATTTGATCCCAAAACTCTACAACAATTCTCATGTAAATATATTACTGCCGTACAACATAGATACCACAAAATCAACAAAAAGGATGAATAGTAAGAACGAATAAAAAAAGGGTCATTTATTAGCTAAGCCTCATTGGTGAACATTATTTACCTGAAGCAGAAGAATGAACTGGGGAAAGCGCTGTATGGGTTTCATCATTAAACCATAGAGTGTAATTCTATCAGGGCTCAACTCCTGGCATTGCTGAAATGAGAAAGTCACTGAATTTGCTTGTGTTAGTAGATTTCTATCATTACCTTTCAGAAAATGAACATTTTCTGCCAAGATTTCTTTTTGCCAACATTTGTTTATATCAACAACATTGTACCAGGAATACAACAAAGATTTCACAGCCTAATTTAGAAGTATTAGTTAGGCTTCTGAGGGCTACGACTACACAGTCATGCGTAACTTGATATAAGCTACTCAATTTGAACTATGCTAATTACATAGCTTATTTCAAGATAGCTTATTTTGAAATTTGGCTCTGTCTATACAGTGCCAAAATTTAGAAACAGAGCACTATTCTGGTCTTTTCCTTATTCCTCATGCAATGAGGTTTACAGGAAGTTGGAATAAGACAACCATTATTTCGAATTTATTTCAAAATAACAGGCATGTTGTTAAGATATGCACAACGCCATTTTGGGATAACGGATCTTATCTCAAAATAGTGCCACTGCACAAACATACTCCGAGACAAATCTTACTGTGAAAAATTGCCATGCTGGAAAATGTAAAGAAAGAAAACTTCTTCCTCAAAAACTAGAGAAGGGTCAAATCCCAACAATATAAAAGTAGTGGAAATGGGAAACTAAATTCTGTGTGAAATGAACACATCTCTACTTGAAAAAACTTAAAAAATTATTGGTCCCATAGCACCTTAGAGACTAACAAAAATATAGATAGTATCATGAGGTTTTGAGGGCACAACCCACTTCTTCAGATGAAATGTCTCTAATTGGTTAGACAACGGATTTAAGCGTGCGCTAATTTTAAGCATTCAAGTATTCCCATTGACTTGTTCTATGCCTTACATTAACTATGTGAGTATGTGCTTTATTGGGTCAGGATCTTCTACTGTAGTTGCTCTGTGTTGTGGGTGCTGGGGTAAAACCCTACCATATGATGCAATTCTACATTTGTATATTTATTAATGTGTGTTGGTATTTTAAAAGAGAACATCTAGGAAAAATCCTTGTAATTTTAAGGCTATGAAAACACAATGCAAACACAATGCAAAGTCCATAGTTACCTGTATATAACATCAAAGTTCCCCACAGGAAAGGACTAAAAAGAGATTTATCATTTTGTTTGTTCTCTACAAATTCAGGAGAACTTTGGAATATTTTAGGAAGATACTTAATTACAGCTTGACGACAAATAAAGGTTTTTTTTCAAAATGCTGATATTTTTGAACAGTGTGTAGTTGGTCCAAAGCCAGGGGAAAAATCATAAGAACATAAGAATAGCCATACTGTATCAGACCAATGATCCATGTAGCCTAGTATCCTGTCTTTTTGCAGTGGACAATGCCAGATGCTTCAGGGGAAATGAACAGAACATCACCAAATAATCCATCCCCTGTCACCCATTGTCAGCTTCTGGCAAATCTTTATTTGCATTTGAAAATGCTAATATATGTTGAGCAGCTCAAGTGCTGCTGACATTGGTGCACATCACTACAATACTAACCTGCAACTATTCATGTGACTCCCTTGCTCTCACTCTCTAAAACCCTCAATTTTGCCTGAACAGATTATGGTCCTGAGTCTGCTGTCCTAACTCAGGTAAACATCCCATGTCAACAGGAAAACATGCATGTCAACAGGGCAGAGTTGGGCAGAAGTAAACACACATGCATAGCTGACAGAGAGAAGCAGGGAGAGATCAGGGTCTTGGAAGAGATGTCTCATATGCACAGTGCCTTCCGTGTTTCCTTTTTGCGCAAAACCTCCCTCTTGCACGAGAGCCATTCTTCCCCATTTTTTCAGGAAAAACGGCTCTCACGCAATAGGGGAGTTTTGCGCAAAAAGGAGCCGTCTAACACAGCTCCTTTTTGCGCAAAAATGGCCCCATATTAATTATGCAAATGAAGCATGGCAATATGCTAATCTGTGCATCATTTGCATAGGCTTTTGTGCAAGAAGGAAGCAGTATAGACGTAGCCCAAGTGTCCGGCTTTTATATATTTTGACTATTAAGTCACATAGTTAAC